AAAAAACAAAAATTACTTGCAACTGTAGTAAATACAATGAATTACTTGTTAACATGTTAATAGAAATTTTTCTATAAATATTAAAAAACAAAAAGCAAAAATTTAATAAATAATGAATTCATATTTTGATATACGTATAATAGAAATATTTTATCAAGTAAAATTATGTTATTAAGCAACAATCAACAAAATCTGAAATTAAATAATACAAGTTCAGAAAATAATAAATCTGAAGTTAATAATAATGAAAAAATAGATAATATATTTGAAGATTATCAATTTTAAAATATGATTTTTTTCTGAATTCTAGGAAATTTTTAGATAGTCATTTTATATAGATTTTGTTATAAATTATAAACTATAGAATTTGATTTAATTTATCAAATAATGCAACAAATATATTATTAAAATTTATAAAATAGATATTAATTAAAATTGGTAGTAAAGAATTTAAGCTCTTTTCGAGTCTTTGTATATCATTAACAACATATTTAGATTATTAAATCAGTTCATTAGTTTTGTAATATATCAAAAATACTATAAATTGTATAAACAAAATAATATCAAAAAAACAATCTATTATTAGTCATAAAGTGTATTCATATTGAATTTCTTAATTCAACAATAAAACAAAAAAAAAATCTCAATTTTTTATTATCTATACAATTAGAATTATTAAATTAAATGTAATTAATTGACCTAATTTAGTTTTTATGTATTTTACTATTCAGTATTAATTGTCACAAATATATTAAAATCTGAATTTGAATCTAATATTTAGTATTATATAGATTAATTAAGCATTGATTAACTTCTATATAATATCTATAATAGTAATATTTGAAAAACTTTTAATGATAAAAATTCAGAATTATTTTTTGGCAAAAATATAATTTATTTATATTTGAAATTGATGCTAAATATCAACTGATTTTAATTATTTAATAATAAAGTATATAGTACTAAAATATATATATAACTATTACAAATTTGCTGTGCAAAATAGGATTTAAGCATAAAAATATATTGATTTTTGATATATTATTAGGTTTTAGCAAACAAATTTATATCAAATAATTATTATCTTTTTTCAATTGTTGATAAATCAATACAACTATATTAAAGAATAAAGCTTAGTTCAACTATTTAAAATAAAAAAGAAAAAATAATTCAAGTAGCTTTAATTTTAATTTAATGTGATATTCTTGCAGTATAAAAGTGTGTGGATATATTTTAGTACTAATGTTATGCCATTATTGCAAAAAAATATTATAAAAATAATTATTACAATTTTAATAATATAGAAGATATAAATGAATGGTTTATGCTGAGAAATTTGATAATACATAAATAAGATTTTATTGAATAGAAATATTATAACTCAAATACAATACAAAAATATTTAGTTAGTGAGAATTATGTCAAATAGCCTGAATTCTTTTATCTATCTTACTTTTATCTAATTTGATATTTAATTATCAATTCTATATACTGTTTTTTCTTAAGTATTAATAAATGACTTGTTAAACAAATATAAATTAAAGAAAAAATATTGACAAATAATATATTAGATAAAATATAATCAATGATGAAAATATTTCAAGTATTATTATATATGAATAAAATTTTGAGAAAAGTAAATAATAGTAAAGAATTTTTGAACTTTATTGCTAATTAATAAAGAATTTTTTTTATAATATATACAAATTTTTTTTTTTAACTAGTCCAACTGACAGGACAAATCTTTTATTGAGAAATCAGTAATACATTTTCAGATTACATGAGCAATTTGTATAACCTTATTTTAACTACCTATTCTAACCCAAGTTCACAAATTTTACTACACTAGTGATACCATTTTCATCAGTTACCCTGCTTTACCTGGGACTATAGCATTCCAAAAGGCTACTATGGACTTCTTATTATTAAACTTCAAGAGGCTGTGTTGTGTGTTTCTTAGTAAGGTCTTGTTTACCACTTGATAATTGTGAGTTCCATGGATGATCCTTACTGTATTTGGGTTCTCCGCAGGCTAGTCGAAACTTAGATGGTACAAATCTCCAGTCATGTTCTTGACATTTAGGCAATTCAATGGTGTTACATAATTGGACAGCATATAACCTTCTATTGCCTTATTTTTAATAACTCTTGCAAGTTAGTCTTATAGGAGTTTCTCTTGGTTACTTCATAATGGATTGCTCCTCCCATTGAATTGGTTACCTTGGAGATTGTTTCTGAATTTCTTCTCCCAGAGTCTGCCCCTGCAGGTTGCCTAATGTGACACTAATGCTAATCACCAGTCTCCACAATAGCTGTCCTCTTTGGTAGCTATTGGTTTTGCGATCATAGAGATTTCCTATTAATTATTGTTACAGCCCGTTATATTTTGACAGGTACAAACAACTGAAGTCTCTCTTATTTCCTATAGGGTGTAGTTTTGACAAGAGGTGGATATCCTTCTTATTTCTGTTAAGAGGCTTGAACTTGATTGGCATTTTTTCTGGCTTATTTTGGATCTGTACATATTCCAGGCGATAGATTTTATCAAAGATTTCCTTAGCACTAAAACCAGCCAAGGCTTGGATGACCTGAGTTTTACACCATGGTCGGATGGTGGAGATCTATAGGTTATTTGTGAGTACAAGGGTGCATATAATAATGAGCATGCATCTTGTACAATATAACTTATATATTACAGAAACTGTTCCTAGGTGGAATTGAATCAATAACTCGCGAATGGTGACCTGGGAGTGTACACAATGTACTATTGACCCACAGGTTTTTATAATATATACAAATATATTCTATAAAAACATCTTTTAGATATAAATTATCAAATTTTAACAAATTTTGTCAAGATTTGTCAAATCTTAATATGCTAAATTTTAAAGTAAAATTTGTTAAATAAGGTTCATGAAAAATTAGTTGCAATAATTAAACTAATAAAATAAAAATATTGAAATGAAAAAATTATTTTAAAACAAATTTAATATTCAGAAGTAAGATTTTAATGAATTTTTAATTTAGACTTATTGATTAATAACTATCGAAATATTGAATCTGGATTAATATAAAATTTGATAAATAATTATTGAATTATTAATTTATATTTTATTTTAATAGTCAAGAGTTTGAAATTTTAATAATTAATCAAATATTGATTCAATTTTTGAATTAGATCAGTTTTTAGCTAACAAGTTAGATTATTTATAAAAGATAATAAAATTTGATAATTATTCAAAAGAGAGCAAATTAATATAATAAATATTAAATTGGAAACAAAATATTTGATTTTATTATATTCTTACAAAATATTAAAAGCTAATTTATATTAATTTGATTCATAAATTACAATAGAAATGTCAATTTATATCCAGGACAAATTTAATTCTTTTTTACACATTTGATAAACTTTTTGAATAATATTATTAAACATCAATTAATCTTTATTTAGTGATATAAACTAATTAATTTGACAGAAAATAGATTTTATTTCAGGTCTGAAAATAACATAAATGCTAAATTGTGGAGTATCAAGTTTTATATAGTTAAATATTAATATATAATCTCTATTTATAATATATTTGATTGATTTATTTTATTTAGATATAGAATCTCAAATCAATAAAATTTTTATAAATATTTAACTATAATTTCTTTAAATTATAAATATAATATATAATTAAAAATTTAGCAAATATGTGAATTTTAACAGATGTTTAATAATTTTTTGAAAAATTTTTTAATGAAATATATAATAAAAATAGTGTGAATTATATAGCAAATAATGTCAAATTATATAGTAAAAATTGATTGATAATTTATTTATACTGAATTATATAGTATAAATTGATTGATAATTTATTTATACCAAATTATATAATAGAAATTGATTGATGATTTATTTATACCAAATTATATAGTAGAAATTTATTGATTATTTATTTATGTCATTAATATATAGTATCAAATTATTTTATTTTTTTGATGAATCTTATATGAGTGACATTATTCCAAATAAATATTTTTAACTAGTGTAAGCAATAATCAACAAAATACAAGATTAAATAATGTAAATTTTGAAAACTGTAAATTTGAAGTTAATAATAATAAAGAAATAAATAATATATTTGAAGATTATTCAACTTCAAAGTATAAATTTTTTGGGGTTTTAATAAATTTTCAGATAATTATTTTACATAAATTTTGTTATACAGTGGATTATAAACTATAGAATTAGATTTAATTTATTGAATAGTATAATAGAAACACTATTAAAATTCAGAAAATTGATGCTAATTAAAATAGATAGTGAAGAATTTGAGTTGTTTTGTGAATCTTTGTATGTTGTTGGCAACTTACTTAAATTATTAGATCAATTTATTAGTTTTGTGATATATCAAAAATATTACAAATTGAATAAATAGAATAATATATTTTGGTTTCAAAAAATAATCAGCTATTAGTTCTAAAATATATTTTTATTGAATTTTTTAATTTGATAACAAAATAAAAAAATTTGTAATTTTTTACTGTTTATACTGTATAATCAGAAATATTCGATTAATTTAATAAACGAGCAACCAAACTTAATAAAAACAACAACAAAGTTTGCCAATTTTGTCTTGTCACTTTTTTTCTTCCATCTTTTTATTTTCACAAGCTTTTAATTGTCTCGTGCATTGATTTTTTCGAAGCCAATCTAATACAGTAATTCCCCTTTAAATTGAGGTTTCGATCTATTGATGGTTTATTCACTTGTCATTTGAATTGTTTTGGTAGCCTGGCTTCTAAATTTCTTGCTTATACTGTACGTCACAGTAATTTACAATAATAGCATAGCCTCATTTAAAGTTAATTTTAAATAGTATGCACTTAACGCGTTCTGAATTTTTGTTTTGTAAGTCTTTCCAACTCAACCAAGTCTCCGCTGGATTCACACATTTTTCTGAACATAGAACCAGGCGTTTTTATTAATTTAGAGGGCGAATCGAATTCGATCACTCTTCCGGAATCTGGATTTAACACAAAAACCTACAACGATTAAAAGATAATAAAAAAAAAAGAAAAAGAAAAGAAAAAGAAACGAGAAAAATAATACCCATGACTAAAATTCGATCGTAGTCCGCAACTGTTCTTAATCTATGTGCGATGGTAATAACCGTGGATTCCATAAATTCCTCTCGGATAGTTTTTTGTATCAAAGAATCGGTCTTAAAATCTACACTCGCTGTTGCCTCATCCATTATTATTAATTTTGAGTTTCTAACAAGTGCTCTAGACAACGCGATAAGTTGCTGCTGTCCTTGAGAGAAGTTACTTCCGTGCTCCCTCACAGGACTATCTAGACAAAATTCCCCGCCACCATTTGATTCTACCAGTACTTCGGAAAGTTTCTTTTCTTGAGGCTGCGACAATTCAGATTTCTCATTACATGATTCCAAGCGTTCTTTGATCTCACGGTTACCATTAATCAAGTGAGCTCTTCGAAGTGCATTCCATAACGTTAAGTCATCATGTTCGTTGAATGGGTCCAGATTCGTTCTGCAAAATTGCAAATTTGAAATACTGTACGTAATGGATTTTTGCAATCAATCAGAACATCAACGGTTGTATAAATTACCTCAAAGTACCGTTAAACAAAACCGGATCTTGTGGTATAATTGTTATTTTACTTCGAAGATCTTTTAGGCCTATCGTGGTAATATCAATCCCATCCAGTATAATTTGTCCCGAGGTTGGTTCGATGAATCTGAAGAATGACGTTGCTAATGTTGATTTACCACAACCTATTCAAATAATAATTAATAACGTCATATGCGTGCGTGCTTATCCACTTTTAAAAAAATTTCATTACCAGTTCTCCCGACGATACCGATCTTTTCGGCCGCTTTTATGTGAATTGAAATTCCCTTTATTACGGGCGGCAATTCAGGTCCGTATTTCATCGTGAGATCTCTTATTTCTATATCTCCTTTGTACGGCCACTCTGGCGGTGGTCGTTTTTGCGCGATAATGGGTTCTGCTTCAACGTCCAAATTATCAGAATAATATACTAGGCGCTCAATGGCATTCATATTCGCTTCCTAGTATTTCGTGAATATCAATAAAGGAAAAAAAAAAAAAAAGACTGGAGAATTTGACAATGTGAACGTACCACTTCGGCCGTTTGTCTAACGCAGTAATTAAAATCCACGTTCACCTGAGTAGCATAACTTAGAATCAATCCTATGATTGAAGGCAATATTTGGAAGCGTTCAATGACCGACAACAAGCCGGCACAATAAATAAGTATATTGGCAATTATTTCAAGTCGGACTCCAAGCCATCGTTGGATCGAGATGGTCAGATAATATGCACGATTCTCCAGGTCCATGAAGTATTCGTTGATACTATAATATCATATCATTTTTTTTTTTTTTTTTTTTTAGCGCATAATTTTGTTAAAAAAAAATCGCTAAAATTTTTTAGGCTGCTTGGATAATACGCACTCTGTGAACCTCTTCTGCTCGCGATAAGCTCGGATTGTAGAAAGACCAGTTAACGTTTCCGAAAAGTGAGCATATAACGAAGATCGTAATATGGAATCAAGACCTATTTTTCAAACCGAGAATTATCATATACTGTATATATTCCTACGATAAAACCAATAAAAAAATCTTACGCTTTAATTCACGGTTTGTGGCTCGGTAGTAAACGGATGCGAAGTAATATAAAGTGATGAGCGGCACAAAAGGAATTAGAAACCATTTTAATACCACAATTATTAGGAAGAAAGTTCCGAAAACCAAAGCCGCAGTTGTAAAAAACAATCTACAAGACTCTGGAAGCAAATTGTCGCAAGTATCGACATCCCTACTAAATCTTTTATCAATCATGAGAACGAATTACAAATATTAGAATGTGCATCTCAGTCGAATTTCGAAACATGCAACTGCGTATCAATTTATTTACCTATTAATGATGCGACCTAAAGGTGTGGTATCGAAGAATCCCACGGGAGCTCTTAATACCCTTTTGATTGCTTTATTATGTAGATTCTTGGCGGCAACGAGTCCCGCAAAAGAAAACGACAGGGCAACCAAAATACTGAAAAGTCCTTCGGAAATGCCCCAAGCACAATAAATTATCATCTATGAATTTAGTAGAAGTATGAGATATGATGCTCGTGATCCGGTCAAGTTTAATATAACGAACTTACATAAAGATTGGTTGTGAGATCGAATTCATTACTCGTCCAATATGAAAGCCACAAATTATTTCTTTATAATTTAAACTATTACACGTCAATATTAATAGCATCGATAAGCTTATTAATGATTCTATATGACCGCTTACCGACCCTATGTTACTTCCTTGCATCATAATCAGCAAAAATAAAATGATGGGTATCAAGATAATTCCACCGGCCGCTCTGATGTAAGTTAGGTAGACCGAATTTTCTACTGCGCCAGTAACCCTTTCTTCCTTTTGCATCAATTCCTTGGCTGGCAGGAATCCCGTTAATTTAAAATCATTCTCTACACGTTTTGAATCTAAATCTAACATAATTTCTGATCCTTCACTCTCTTCGACCTCACCAAACTCGTTAATTAATTCCGAAAATTTTTTATTATCTTTCATCAATTGTTCATAAGTCCCTTGCTCCGAAATTTTACCATTATCCATAAATATTATGTAATCTACTCGGGTGAGGACTTGCAAATGATGCGTCACAAGTAAACGCGTCTTTTTAGAAAGTGCACCCTGAATACAATTCGTAAAAAGATAACCTCCGACGTGCGAATCAACGGCCTTGAAATAGAATCGATTTGTCAATCTATTAGAATACTACATACGTAGAAGTTTACGGTGAAAGATGCGTAATACTTGCGGATAATGGATCGTCTAATAGAACTATGTCGGCATCAAAGTAGACGGCTCTTGCAATGTTTACGCGTTGCTTTTGTCTGAAAAACAAAAGAAGAAAATAAGCAAATGCAATTTCGATAACATAACCACTAATAGTTACCCTCCAGATAAGTTGATCCCTTTTTCGCCAATCTCCGTCATATCTCCCGCGGGCAATATCGCAAGGTCAGGCTCAAGACAACAATCCCTAATCACCTGACTATACCTCTCTTCGTGAAATGGCAAACCAAAGGTCACATTCATACGAAGTGTTGCATTCTGAATCCACGCATTTTGTGGGCAGTATCCAACACTCCCACCAAAAATAACTTCTCCATGAACCCTTTTCATTTCACCCACGAGCGCGGATAATAACGATGATTTTCCTGATCCAACGGAGCCAACTATTGCCACAAGCTTTCCACGGGGAATCAAAAGATTAATACTTTGAAGCTGAGATTTAGGCATGTGAATGCGTTCAGTCGAACCAGCCAATTTTTCGGTGATCAGAGAGGCCGTAGAAGAGGTATTTGCCGGTTCTTCTTCTACGGGCTCATTTTTCTCGTCATCTCGATCTTCATTCTCGAGAGAGATGCCTTCCCACATGAATTCCCCGTCTACAACTTTAACCGCAAAGCCACCGTCTCGATCAACTTCTGGTAAAAAGTCCAACT